TGGCTTTCCAGTTATATTAGTCTGCTGTTCCTCAGGTGTTTCTCCCAGTTTGACATAAGTTTGATGTTCATCTATATTGCTGTTACACTGGGTTATGCTGGTTCGTTTAACGGTATCTATACATGGGAGGCAGATTGTTTGACCATCGCTACATATTAAACAGGATGAATGGGCTATGTTTTGGCAGATCTCACAGGAGTCGGCAGTATCTTCTATTGTATTTTCACATATTCCACATGTTTCAGCTTCATATACCTCTTCCTCTCTTACAGCACCTGAGTCTGCCAGTATACTTAAGGCGTTGTTACTACAGGTTGGTAGGGCGAGTTGCTCATAATGGCCGTCAGTTGGTCTTGATGTTTGGACGGGTTGAGTATTGTTTGCTTCTCCCTCAATAGCTCTATTTTCATTGCATAACTTGCATGTATAGTTGTCATCTTTCTCCTCCTCTGATTCTATATCCACTATTTCCTGGGATGTCATCTTTTGGCATTTGTAATGGACCCAGTGCTTTCCTGTTGTTCAATAAGCGCCACGCGTTCTACAATTCTTTTTGCATTTTATGCATTCAATGCCAGGGTTTATGTTTCTATCGCATGTGGCTAGTGTGGTTTTGGCTCCAACTGACTGTTCCAGTCGTTCTCTCATGAGGTTGTTTAGGTGGGCTAAGTTGACCTTGGAATTTCCACATTTAGCATTTTGTGCTATCTGTCTTATTTCTATAAGATCCACATCGACAAAACGGTTTTGGTCTTTTCCGTTTACCAGTATCTTGCTCTTGGTATTATAGAAATTAACAGTATAACTATAATCATTGCTACTGTACTTATAGCTGTGTTGTACAATTATGTTGTTTGATTTATCTTTCTCTTCTTGGATTAGGATATTTTCTCCTGTCGTTCTGGTGTAGTAGATTGCAGTTGCCTGTTTTATAAGCTCGAAAGTAGCAGCATCAGCAGTTATGACCAGTCCACCACCTGTGGTTTTTAATTCAAGGTGGGCCTCTCTTTTAGTTGCCTCGAGCTTATTCATTAGTGCTCTCTGGATGTTAAGGTTATAATCTTTGGTGATCTGTCTCTTGTTTGGTAAGCTGCGCCCAACTCTGCTGACTTGCTGGTTGTCCCCCATATTATCAGGTGTACACAATCAGTGGAGAGGTACGTAGTGGATAATCCCACGGTCGACAGCTTTCCACTGACTGTGTACAGGCCTTGACGTTAGCGGGCTATATTTTATTTGAGCTGTAAGTATATATCTCTAGTGACGTTCCCCCTTTTCCTTTGTTTTCTGTTTATAGTACTGTTGTTTAATAAATAGCAAAAATCTATATATATATATGTATGTATAGTCTTCTTATAGAAGCTGTATAAAAGCTTTATAGTTAAGCTTGATAAGTTAATATGTGCTTATAAGGCAAAATGCAGACCTAATGGTAGAAACGGTATAAACACACAGCTACCTTGTTGGACGTATTGCTCTTATGTTGGTGGACGTATTTCTCAATCAGTGTAGATATGTTTAGGCCAGTCAGTTGTAAGTTCTAAGTCTGCTGCCAATTAGTGAGTAGGTACGTCGTGGATAATCCCACTGCCGACTGCTAATCACCAATCCACAGCAAACTTCACCCTACTGTTGGTAACAGTGACCCTGAGCTAACCTTCCAATCTTCTTCAGCCACACTCTGGCCAATAGCACTGAAGGATGTATTCCGTCTATATATAGGTTGAAGTTATACCTATCAGCTACCCTTTTGTGTCTGTTTTTGGAGCTCTTTTGCTGGTTATGACTGATGTCGACTGAAAGTGTGGGTGGAAAGACCTGTATCAGTTGGTTTATTTCACGTATTTTGCTGTTTAATTCCAGAATGTGTTTAACCAATAGGCAGTCCTGGTTAATATACTGGTTAGTGTCCGGGTGGTTTCGGCTTTTGTTCCAGTGGTAGATTGAAATGGGGGGTACTTCTAGGAGCGTCACTTTGCACCCAGGATAATTTTGTACTATTTTAACAATTTCATTTAGGTTATCCACTCTGTCTTTTGTGGCTTCGTATGGATCTGGGTGTAGTTCTATGTATTTAGTCTTGTAATTGTAGCATGTCAGGTCACATGTACCAAGCCATACGTATATGGAAATGTTGTCAAGTTGGCCTATCTTAGTGGCTATGTTGTCCCTTAGCCACTGGACTCCTTTCTTTGTTGTCCTGCCTTTCTCACTCCAGAATTTGATTTCCCTGCTGATTCCTGGTCTGATTTGTCTCTCTAGGTAGTTTCCTTTACTGTCGCTGAATAAAACCGGTGTCAAAGTTTTACCTCCCTTTATTGGCGGGTCAGGTTTTTTGAGATAGTCATTTAGCTTCTTAATGGACATACCAGTTGAACCACTATTTGGTGTTGTCAATAGGGAATGGGGGGGGGGGAGGGGGGAGGGGGTCGGTGGCAGGACAGTCAAGACCTGTGAAAACGGTGAAATGTAAATACACGGATAATGGCGGTTCGCGACTAGCCTATATTTATCACCGTGAATATAACAAATATACCAAATATATGATGGAATTCGGTCAAGAGTACCAGCAAACTTGGGTTCGGGGTTGAGACCCACGTGGGTTCAACAGTCAGAAATGTTCAGCTGTTTTTTTATGATATTCCTTGTTAGGGCGTCGAAAAGTTTGTAGGTATTTGTTTTCCAACGACTGTGGGAGTGTTATTGTATGGTTTTTAGTGGGTTTTGCTATGTTTTGCTACACTTATTCACAAATTTGTTCCAAATTTTTCCTCTGCTCGAGAAAACACAAGATGTCAGCCGTGCCTCGTTTTCAACATCAGTTGCAATGGCCAATGGCATTTTTTTATAAAACCGGATGTGGGTACGCGTAGCCTATGAATGGCAATTTGACTATTCGTACCCGCATGCGGGTACGCGCAGACACTGCCAAAATGGAAAGCTGACGATAGAAAAATTAGATGCATTGTTTGTGTGTCTAAAACTATGTTCTCAATATATGTTGAAAGCATATTTTTCTCTTTCTTTTTCGCCCTCTTCCTATACGAAATCTATACCGAGTAAAGAAAAGAATAAATCGGCGATATCAGGAACATATTTGTTTTACAAACCGGGCAAAAATATTGTTGTTTAACATTCGTTTCACTCCATTTCAAAGTCCATTAAGATTTCATTCTGACAATGAAGCCTGTGTATGCCATTTCAATCGGTAGTAAATGCAAGATTTGTTTTAATAATGTTTTGTACTTACAATGTATCCATCAGTTACATGTATATTATCTCAAGATACCATCTTTTTGTATACGTTGTAAATCGAGTTTGTTTTTATTTTTCAAACGTGACTGCACTTATTCACTTAGAGTGTAATGCTAAAGCATATATTATATAACTGCCGAAGCTTCTGATAAGTTATGCAAGTCCTTTCCGACTGATATTTAGTTTGTTTTACAGACTTGTTCTAGGCTGGTGGAGGGTTGACCACACACAAACATTTTAAACACGCCATTTTCTTTTCCAGGGGCCAGTTTTAGTCCAGTGGGTTGTCGTTAGTTGCTGTCTATCATATTTATTATTCGTTTACTGCTTTGTTATATAGGTAAGGGTGTTGGCTTTATCTTTTGAATTGTTTCACACTTTGCTACTAGTATTACAACCATGGCCTTGATAGCTTATAATACGGTTTGTGTTTTGGTCATTGTTGAAGGACGTACGGTGACTTGTAGTAGTTTCCATCCTCACCCATCATGTCTTTGGTGGATTGTTGTCTTACTGGCAATCATATAACGTTTACTTATTCTTTTATTATCCGTTCCTCAGTCCCTTTTTTGGTAGCATTTTTTGATAATCGGGAATTGCAAATAGAGATTCCTGAAATTTGTTATCCAGCATCATGTGAGCCTGACCATATCCTTTGATGCGTTTTCACTTCCATCAACCTCCTATTTACCGAATACTTACGTATTCTTACACATAATGGTCAAGTACATGTATGAAATTTTCAATGCATTTTTCTCTGAAACTACGAATCAGAGATTCCTTAAATTAAGTATCAATTAAGCTTAATGTAAGCATTCTGTGTCATTTGGTCTCTGGTGGAGTGTTGTCTCATTGGCAATCATATCACATCTTCTTATTTTTATATATACCGTATCATTGTTTTTTTTCAAATCTATCACTTATCAATTTTCTGTTACTGAATACTCATATACTACTATAGTTTTATAAGTAATAGGCAAAACACGAAAATATATCAAAACTCATTATTTAAAGGCAATAACTCCTGAAACGTTATCCACAGATTAGGTCATATTTACTTTTTTATAGATCTTGTGTTGGTGATTAATTTGGCTGTTTACAGATTCTATCTATCTATTATAGTTTTCGAGATGATAAGCAAAGACATGAAAATTATACAAAATCTTCATTTAAGGGCAATAACTCCTTCAGAAGTCATCTCATAATGTTAGTGAAAATAGGAAGTAGGTAGATCCACCTAGGGGCATTATGTTTTTCAGTCTGTGCGTTCGTTTCTTCGTTCGTCAGTCTGTCCCGCTTCAGGTTGAAGTTTTTGGTCAAGATTGTTTTTGATAAAGTTGAAGTCCAATCAACTTGAAACTTAGTACACATGTTCCCTATGATATTATCTTTCTAATTTTAATGCCAAATTAGAGATTGACCCCAATTTCACGGTCCACTGAACATAGAAAATGATAGTGCGAGTGGGGCATCCGTGTACTATGGACATATTCTTGTTTTTTATGTTATGGTTTTGAAGATAAGACAATTTATAATGCATTTTACACATATATTTTAATTTTAGCCATGACAGACATGTTTGTTGATTAACAGAGGGAAAAACACAATTTATACTAAACACTCTAAGGATCATTCACCCAAAGTTTGGTTTAAATTGATTCAGTAGTTTCAGAGAAGATCTTGTATTTAATTAAGTACAAACAATAAGAGGAGAAAATCTAACAGAGTTAAAAAAATTATAAAAACTATTTATACAGATGTTTTATTATCCCTTGAAATAAAAAAAATACATATACATGTATAATCACAGCAATTGTGTCTAGTATTGAATTCATATGAAAAATTCACCAACTATACTATTGTTCTTTATTTATTCTGGAACTGCATATCCTGGTGCAGCTAAAGGTCCCTCTTTATGAAATAAAACTGCAGGCCAGACCGTAAGCCTAAACTTTGTTCCTTTCTTTCCTGAGAAACGGAACATTTCCTTATTAAATTTTTCACCACGTTTTCCCCAGACTATTTCCATCGGTGGTTGTTGAATACACATATACCAAATAAGATTTACGCAGTTATCAACATATTCTTTGAGTTCTTTGCCTATAGATATGTCTGGTAGTACCTTACACTGCAACTCTTGTGTTAGAATATTCTAAAACAAACGAGATACAAACATTAAAATAGGTATTAGATTCCTATATATAAAAATATTAGATAGTCAAGTATATACAACAACAACAACAAAAAAAAATGCTGTTTTCTTAATTGCCCAGCTTAGCATTTAAATTTTCCAGAGGGTTCTTTGTAGTCACTGTCCATACAGAAACACACATGCCTTGTTCATATACTCAAAAGTTAATATAGATATCATCAAATAACTTAAATATAACATATGTAAATATATATCATGTTTTAAATTAAAAAAAATATACTAAGATACACATATTCATGACTCGTCAATCTGTCGATACCTGTCTCTTGGCATTGCAAAAGGTCATGTTTTTCTCTGACTGTTTATGACATCTTTACACTCAATCCATTGGATGTTAGTGTGTACTGATTGATATTTTAGTCCTAGATGCAAGATTTTTTTACTAGTTGCAATTTGCTTTGAATTAGGTGTCAGTAACTGTGCATGCAAGTACTCTCAGATCTGTACTCAGTGTCTTTTGGTTGTGGGAATATTATAGGTATCCTGACACATCCACTCTGTGCTTTTGCTACTTGTTTTTGCTTTACATCTATCAGACTAGTTGTGTCTTTTTCAAACTAATTTTTACAGTTTGTTCATTAGTTAAGTGGAGGTTTGGGCATCCCCTAACATGTTTTACCCTGCCACAATCTATGTGCCTGTCCAAAGTCAGCAGCCTATAATTCAGTGGTTTTTGTTTGTTGCTGTATATCATACCAGGTATTTGTTTTTCATACATTATGTTGTACATGAATCATCTGCTCATTGTTGAAGGCTGTACAGTGACCTATGATTGATTATTTCCATGTCATTTGGTCTCTTGTGGACAATTGTCTCATTGCAATCATACCACATTTTCTTATTCTTATATATAAGATGACAGTTTCTAATTAACAGGATTAGTATAAAAAGTATTCTGAATTTTAAACTTTAAAAAGTACATGGTAAAATTCCAAGGCATTTACATGATCTCACAGTTAATCTGATTTTTTTCATACAAAATAATTTAGATGTCCCAATGTCTTAACTTTCTTTAGACAGTATACAACTACCTGTTTGAGGATAGGAATGGTTGCTGGGGCAACAGCTTTTCTGTAGTCTTTTGCCATTTTTTCTGTTTTTGCTACAGTTTCATCATCACCTTTCTGCAATGTATAAAATCAGTGGTTGAACATTAGATTGCGTGCATTTTTCATTCAGATGCTGTATGAGAAGTTTAATTTCTTTTGTGCGTTTCATGTCAATCAAAAAATTATAAAAAGTTCCAATGTCCCCTGCGTTGTACATATTTATCAATCTATGATACAAGGGCAATAACTCAAAAAAAAATGTTTTTGTTCTTTTTAAACAATTCATAAATATCTTAAGAGAAATAAATGCTTCAGAGCAAATGCAATGTGAATTCTGTTAAAATTATTTTTTCCAAGGGGCATAACTCATAAATAAAATTTGATCAGCACTGATTTTCAAAGACGATCGATGCTGAAATAAACTTTACATAAAATTCTGTCAAGAATTGTACACATGAGAGTGCTTAAACAGAACAATTTTCCATATTATCCATATAATCGAACTCATCCAACGTTAAGACATTGCTAAAAAAACCATCACATAAGGTTCATAAAAATCTGGCAAGAACTGTGCATGTGAGAGCGCTTACAAGACCAGACTGAAAGACAGAAAGACTGACTGACGAATTGACAGACGCCTAGTATTTCTATGTCCCCCTCAATGCATTCCTGGGGGACTATAAATGTAAAAGAAATAAATCTCATGATATCAAGAGACTGAACTGCTTAACAGACAGAATTGTTCTATTAGGGTCAGGATGGGGTTTACTGAAAAGAGAATCATAGGCTAAATCTACAGAAAAATGGACCAAAAAAATAAAGAATAGAATTAAAAGTTAGGGCAAAATAATAAATAGAGATAAATAATGCAAAAATATACGATGTTTAAAGAAAAAAGAATAATAAGGGCCCTAAAATATAAAGAATAGAGAATAATAGGGGCTCTAGAATATAAAGAATAGAGAATAATAGGAGCACTAGAATATAAAGAATAGAGAATAATGGCCAAAAATTTATAGAAAATAGAAATATTTGCAAAAATTTAAGAATAGTGGGCAAAAAATATACATGATATAAAGAATCGAGAAAAAATTACAAAAATATAACAGAAAAATTGTCTAAAAATTAAAGAATACAGAAATGAAGGAACCAATCAAGACCCTCTTCTTTGAGTGTTAAGGTTTGAGTGATGATATATGGTAACTCCAGTTTAGACTTCTGAAAATGAATGTCAAACCTGAGGTCATTGTGTAGCTAGAAAATTTAAATTAATCAAATGCATTGTTGATTGCTCTCAATAAAAAATTCTATAAAATTGAGAATGGGAATGGGGAATGTGTCAAAGAGACAACGACCCAATCAAATTGCAGAAAACAGCAGGAGGCAACCAATGGGCTTCAGCTGGCCCCTTAACAAAAATGTGTACTAGTTCATTGAAAATGGTTGTCACACGAAACTCCAAAACATATAAATGAACTAAAATTTAAAAAATTATGACTACTTACACACTCTTTCTTTGTATTCATTGGATCAAATATGGGTGGAAGCATTTCCATCATGAGTTTATTAACCTGGCTATCTGCAGTCTTCTTACAGAATTCATAAATCACCTGCAAAACAAAAAATACTAATCACTGGTTTAAATCTAATAAATATTTCTCTCCACTGAAGACTAATGATTCTATCTTTACATTGTGATGTAGTGGCAATCATACCTCATTTTGATATAATGGCAATCATACCACATCTTCTTTTTTATATTGTACCTTGAAATAGCTTGTACTAAATATCCTTGAGTCTTCTTTGCACTGCTGATGGACAACCATTCATTTTGATGCTGGGAAATTGAATTTTAATGAAATTCTTACAATAATAGAAAAAATTAAGTAAATTCCTAATAGTTTTAATGATTGTTTTATCAAGTATTGTAGGAACTCAACTATAAGTCGGAAGTTTGGGAGTACAATTCACATTCCAGAGAGGGGTACCAACTTATAAGCGAGAGCCAGTGTACAGAGGAAAAATCCAAGCCAGAAATATGTGATCAGACGTGAATTTCCTGAGAAAAACTATGTTGGCTATAAAGCCAAAACTACTTTAAAACTTTCTTAATAAAGGTAAACAATACAATTCCTATATATCTGCCGAAACTAATTTTCAGGGGTATACACAAAAAAGTTTTTTTCAGGTTTATAAGTTAGCACAATTTTGAAATAAATTTATATGTAATTTTAAGGTGGTTCCAAACACCTTGACTAAAATTAATTTCCTCATTTAATTTTCATAAAATTTTTACCAAATATTTACTTTGATCCTTTGACAGAAAAATAAAATTAAAAACAAAAATTGAAACCTCTCACTGTATCGGAAAAAAATCCCTTGGATAAATGGCAATTTGACAAGCACTAATTTTGATCATTGAGGAGCTTAATATTTCTTTAACAATAAAACTTGATTAAAACATTCAGCTGATTTTTACAGAGTTATCTCCCTGTAGTTTTATGTACCACCTTAAATCAATAGCAGTGTACAATATTCAAAGCTATTAATAGCACCTACATACCTTTACAACATTTTGTAAGATATCAATTGTTTTCTCATCCATTTCTTCCTTCTCATCCTCTTTCTTACTTTCAGTTTTTTTAGGTTTCAGTACTTCATAAGCATTTGACCAGGTATCCTCAAATACCTCAGAGAATCTCTGACCAAGCCGTATTGGTTCATTTTGATCATCTCTTTCAGTAAATGTTCCATCTGCTTTTTGCCGGCTAGCTACATCATTTAACCTTCAACAAATCTAACATGTTTAATTTATTAAAGATGACATCAGGAACTGATTACCAGACACTAAATCCGCACGTAACGATTCTGCGTGTTGATGACCAAAACCTTCGAAAGTGATTGTATCTTGCACGTGATTGAAGATTTAAAACTTTAGAAAATTGTATTATTTTAATAAAAATTCAAATATTCACAGTACAAGTGGGCTTATATGAACGTAATCTATGAATCGCTGGTACATAATTAAGTCAGGGATTTTGTTACCACACTTCAATTAAAAAAAATACACAGTACTTTTATATATACAAATAGTTGATTTAAAAGTTTAGGGTATTACAAACAGGATATCACTTCCTACTTTTTACAATCATGTTGTTTACTAAGTCTGTGAATTTAGAAATAATCCTTTAACTAACTTATCATGTGGAAGAAACCACAGAGAAATCCAAACTTATAGTCATTAACAAACTGACAACGCCATGGCAAAAAAAATACATGCGCAGTAGTGATAGATATGTAGTATAAATATAGAAAATTTAATATTTTAATCAACAACAAAAAAAATTTTAAATATTATCTGTATCATATACCCAAGCGCCTGTGATTTATTATGGTATAAAATTCCGAGATAATAATGTTGAGGGTTTTACGTTTTACGTCAAAACTACAACGACCCACAACACGTTAGATAGGTATAGTTTTGTTTTTCCATTTTGTAGATATTTTTTCCAGCGAGTACTTAAAGTGTCGTTTGATAAATGTATTTCTCTACTTCTTACTCAATTTATCCCTTTCGTGACCCGTTGGTTATTTCTTATTTAATTTTAAAACGTCTGGTTGTTTGGTCTTTTTTCTTCATTGGTCAAAATTTGATAATGACGTCAAATTATCTTGCTTTTCTATGAAATTCCTATTGTAATGTGATGAAAAAAGGCGACCATGCCTGATGACGACACGTTAAAAACACATTCATTAAGCAAGTCGTTCGAAAAGATTGTCTGCATACCGTCTAAAAAGCATTAGCGAAACACATTCCACCACCTAATATCGCGCAATACGATAGCTATCAACTCACGACAGTTAAATTTTAAACATTTAAAACGCTCGGCG